CCCCAAAACCCCAAAACCCCAAAACCCCAAAACCCCTCTCACACCTCCACCCATTGAACCTCCTCTTCAGCCTCAACTTCCTTAACCCCCAATCAAACACTCAAAATCCTTCGCTTCCTCTCACTGCTTCTTGACATCACTAATCACATCCCTAATCCCACAGTTCTTCCTAACACCCACTCCTCTCGTTCCTCTTTCCTTCATGGCAAGGCTGATCACGAACAAGATTGAAGCTTTGACTACTTTGGCTCTATAACTGCTAGCTAATCTCTATACAAATTATTGTATGTCATTACCTCTTCGTCAAGATTACAGGAAATCTCCTTCAGAACAGGGTTGAGATTCGTATCAATGACAAAGTAAAACCTCATCAGCTCAAAGCATCCTCTAATCTTGTTGTTCATATGGAAGCACATCTCTTGTACCATGACCTTACAAATAGACTTCATCCTTGCATTGAGAGATCTAATCTTCGGATCTTTAAGAGATTGAGGAAATCTTTCAGGCGAATTTTGTGGAGACTTAGAGCGATCTCTTCTAGATTTACTTCTTCCTCTTTCTTTGCTTGATCTGTCTTTCAATTTAGATAAATACTCCTCTGCTTCACGAGAGTTGATCAAGCACACAAAGTGCCCCTTTCATAAAGTGATCTATTAGGTTATTCTTACAATTACAAGGATATGGTAGGCGATATACTTGGTCTCATCTACCCTAATGTTATCTGTACCATAATACTTGGACTCTTCCTTTGACTCTTCTCTCTTCCCGTTGCTTGATTTCAAGAACCGTGGCATTGAATTCGACCTAGGTCTTGACCTGAAAACATTAGAAAAGTTCTTACTTTCCGATAGATTCAGCCCCACGATATTCTTCAACTTGTTTAAAAATTGTCTGGTTCTTTAGCTCACGGGCTAGATCATGCAGCATTTTAGTATTCCTCTGGTACATAAGGGGTAGATGTGGATTCATCTCTTTTGCAGGATTGATGCAGTGACTCTTTTCTGGATCCTTATTTTCTTCAGAATCATCTGACTGATTCTGGTCTGAGCCATCAGAATTGGATTCAGAGAGTCCTTCACTTTGGCTCTCGTATTTATTTGAATTTGAGTCAATCTCAGAAGAGTAATCACTCCCTTCATTTTCTTCGTCAATGCCTGAAACAGAGATATTTTCATTTAAAAGTTCTAAGTCTTTAAGCCAATAATCCTCTTCAGGATCCATTCCAAGTAGGAACTCTTTAAAAGGCAACAAGTTGACAACTAAAGAAAGATTAGTGTTGATTCTGGATTTGCTCAGATAAAATCGCTTACCAACATTCTTATAGAAAAGTATCTTTACAAGAGCCGGAAGCCTCTTCCTGTAGATCCATATTCCCTCGTTTGGACGACTAAAAACAGTTATTTAGCATCTTAAAACTTTTGCTAAGATCTTACTTGAGGAAAGTCCAAAGATCACCAACGTTATCTAAGCAATAACCTTCAATAAACGCATCCTCAAAATTCTCAATAGGGTCTATCACTCCTCACCTCATCGAGTTTTTACATTGCTCGATTAACTTAAGGAACCCTACTGTTGTGCCAGCTCTGTATCTTGTTTGGATGTGATTAACAAAATGGAACCCGTTCAAATACCGAGCATAGTCTACCCCTCTCAAACCTGTCACAAAGGCGATTCTTGCTTCGTCGTTCCACTGATCTAGATCTGCTGTCCTAAGGCATAAAGCTTATACTCTTACTTTGAAGGAAGGATCTCAATACTGAGCCAATCCATGATTTCTCGAAATGCCGGGAAAGAATAGAATTTGTCTGTAAAAGCAGTATAAGCACCAAAATCAACCTATTCGTAATTTAGCAACATTACATCTTCATCTTTTCTGAAATTTTCAAGATTGGTTTGTTTCTCCTTGGATTTTTTCTGCTTTAAAAGAGATGTCTTTCAAGTGATTGGCTTAGCTTCTCCCTTTTTATGTCCTTTCTTTTTATGAACTGGACACACAATCTTGCAGTTCCCTTCAAGCCATGTGTCAATAGACTTGTAGTGCCATTTTATATCATGGTAAAAACTTGAAACAAACTAAGAATTAGGACTGGTCGATACCTTGAAAGAATCATAGTAATTCACAATTTTCTTGTTACCTCTAGCACCAATTGATTGAGTTCCAGTCTCTCCTCCTGTAAACATCTCTACATGTGTCATATTATGCCTCCGAGGTTTCTATATCATGATTAACCTCAAACATAATGAAATAAACAAAGCGACCCATACTTTCTTTGAGGTAGTATAAATCCCTATACCAAAAATTAGAAACTTCCAAAATACCTGAGTAAAATACCAAATCTCCTGGTTTCATCTCATATTGTTTCAAATCAATTGGAAGAGTATCGACCTAAAATTACACCTAGCCTCACTTGATATCCTTGATTTCCCCCGCTATATATCCAAAGTTAGCCTAAATCACCCAAAAGTAGCCAAATTCCTTGATTAAGCCTTGCTTAAAACTTACCCAATCTCAAAGCCAAAGAGCTCCTTCAGATCGTACATGGCTCTTCTAATCAGTCCTCGGCAATCCAAATATATCGGATAATAATACTCATTCTCATCTGGCTTATACTTCCTTTTCGCATAGGGCACTCCAACATACTTTTTCACAGTATCCACAAACATCTGTCTTAGCTACAGATAACCCCCTAAATTTACCTTAGTCTTAAACCTAAAGCTTTTCCTATCTCTTTTGATCTGAGGGAACTCCAGGACATATTCTGTGCTCTAAGATTTAGCCTGAGGCGCTTACCAAAATTCCTTCCTTTCTTCTCTTCACAGCTTGAGAGCAGACTTTCCTACTCTTAGTGCAAGCTTTCTTCTTAGCTCATTTGCCTTTAGCTTTTTTGTGTGAGCAAGACTTGCAATTTTTCTTAGGACTCACAGAGGCTTTTTCCATTTTCAATAATCTTTTTAAGAGTTGGGGTTTTGGGGTTTTGGGGTTTTGGGGTTTTGGGG